CTATATCTCTATACCTCTATACCTCTATACCACTATACCTCTATACCACTATACCTCTATACCTCTATAGCACTATACCTCTATACCCCTATACCACTATACCTCTATACTTCTATAGCACTATACCTCTATATCTCGATACCTCTATACCACTATACCTCTATAGCTCTATACCACTATACCTCTATACCTCTATACCTCTATAGCACTATACCTCTATACCACTATACAACTATACCTCTATACCTCTATACCTCTATACCTCTATAGCACTATACCTCTATACCTCTATACCACTATACATCTATACCTCTATACCTCTATACCTGTATACCTGTATACCTCTATACCTCTGTTCCACTATACCTCTATACCACTATACCTGTATACCTCTATACCACTATACCTCTATACCGCTATGTCGCGTACAACGCTATACGACTATATCACTGGTTGATACCGCTATACAAAAATAGTGGGATCCAGTTGTATGATTGGATCCTTAAGTCACATATTTCGCTTGTCCAGAACATCTATATCGTTGAATTTTGATAGAAATATTTCGATTATTTTGAATTTGCCGCAAAATCAAATTCCCCATTAACTCGGGTGTGGGTGTCCTGGTAGAAGTTACTGTCACTCACATCCACACCAACACCCACACCGAAATTATAAAATTTTATGGTTACATTGTCTCATGGAAACGGGCATGGTCAATGTGTTATTATACATATGTGCGAACGTACTTATTCCCTATTGATTCTCATGTAACATTTGTTTACCGTCTTTCGGTGAATGTTATTTATCGAACGAAACTTGAATAGAACATGTATTATTTTCTTTATTCTATTTTTGATCTCTAAAAATATTGATTTTTATGCCTGTAGCAAGTTAATTAAATGAAAAATTTTCAAGTTTTCTATGGATTTCATGTATATTTTATATTATTGAAATATAGTCAAGGTTATCATTTTGTCTAATACCTACTTCATATAAGAATAATAGTAAATGACTAGACTTACCTACAGTATAGAGTAGAAAGAGAGTTATGATCATTTTCCAACATACAACCATTTTTGTTTGAATAAATTTAGTGGCTTATGCGAATGTGAAAACTAATTTTAAAAAAATGCTATGTCAATAGTAATGTATAGACGGTAGGACGAAGCATGCACATGTTTAAAAAAAGAAGAAAAAAAGATTCGAGTTGACGAGTGTTCTGATCGAAGCCTTTTTCTCTTTTTTTCATTCTTTATTTTACTAGTAACAGCAGTAATAAAGTTGGTGATGATGAAAAAGAGAGGAAGCACGAAAAATTACGAATGGCGTACTTAAACAAAACTATTGCGAACGCGCTTTAGCTCAAGTGAACTTTTTTTCGCTGTCTTTCTGCATTTTCTACCCGATGACGGAGTTACATGTCTTTTTTTATTATTCCTGGTTTTTCTTTTCTTCTACGAATTTACCATCTCCCCCTTTAAAATCATAGTTGTAAATTTGTTGACTTGTTCCTTATTTATTCAGAAACTATACAAAATAAACACGTTAGATATATCTCAATCGTCTCGCTCTTGTACAAGTCCAGGTTAGCAAGTGAATTTATCATCTGAATATAGTTTAGAATAGTAATATTCAAATGTTCTTTCATTTTCTGTGTCCAAGTGTAAAAATTAAATGTTTTAAAATCGTTTTGTTTCATTATATGTTATGTTAATAGAATTTTTTTTGTTTGCTACTTGCTACGACCATGGTGCACTTTTTTTGCGTCAATTGTGTCTTGGTTCTTTCGTCCTTCTCTACTTTGTTATCGTTCTATGTATAAGAACATGAAATGTACGCATACCATTAACGCATAGCATACTAACGAAAATCATCATTCGCTTCAATGTTATAGTCATTGAAGGACAAAATAAATTTATTTTCAACTCACACATACATATAGACTCTCGATTAATGAAAAGGAAAAGAATGACTACTAGTATAATGGTACATATTCGAGTGATGTATAGAATACATTCACATTAAAGTAAAAAACGAAACATATTTAATTAATTTTGTTTAAATTATCCGAATTTAAACAAATTACTGATGATAATGCTTTCGATCAAAAGGAAAAACACAACATAACTGCAGTAAAACCTTCATTAATGAACACCTCTCTATAGTGAACATCTCCCAACTCTGAACGTGGACACTATTTTTCGGTCCCTTCAGCAAAAAAACCTCTATACAGTGAACACATACAATAAAGTGTGCGTGTGAATATGAAATAAAAGAAAAAAAAAGAGAACACAGCGTTCATTCTGAAGTGGTAATAGGTCCACACATTGGCGGACTATTCATCACAAGAAAATTCATCGCGTGTATGAAACAAAAGGAACAATGAAAATAAATAGATCACGATGCGTTAATTAGTCGCATATAAAAGAATATCGCACCTTTCCATTTACACACAATTGTAAGTTGACGACACGCATTAGGTGTGGCTGTGTGAGTGTGGGTGTGGGTCACCACCCACACCTACACCCACCCGCATCCATACCCACAGTCTTTCATTCTCAGAAAATCATTCAATGTTGAAAAACTTATACCTAAAGGACATTTTTTGCAACACATTTTTAGCTTTTTCATTTTCTTTTACTTTTCCACTAAAAAATAACTTCTATCTAGCATTTCACAGGATAGTACTCGACAAGCCGTATATTTTTTTCTGATGTCAAAGTTTTAGATAATGTAATAGTAAAAGGTTACTAGAGACTTTTTGCAAGATTTTTCAAATTGTTTACATTCTTTTGTAATGAAAAGAATTTTGTGTAGTATATTGCTATATGGAACTGGTCTAAGTGCAAAAGCTTCAACTAACTATTCCATTGCAGCTGAATATGTTGAATTGGATTCAATTATGAAGTCGTGCACTGACATTTGTAATCTTTTTATTCCTATTCTATGAATTTCTATATGTGTTGTGAATGAATTAAACAGCAGAAAATAAATTTAGATGATTTATTATGTCCATTCTCCTTGACTACAAGTGAATTTAAAACGACAAGTATTTAACAGACTATGGATGTTTGCTATACTTTGAATTGATTACGAAAAAGATTCTTTATGAAGACAATGTATGTGAGTTGGATTTTGGTGTTTTGTTTGTTTATTAGTTAGAATCGATTGTTGTTGTTTTCTTTTTTGAAGTTAAGAACACATTTATTAATGTGTTTAACTGATCTTCACTGAATTCATACAGGAACGCTATTCATTATTATTTTCCTGTGATTGAGCATCTCCGATCCCGGCAGTTTTTTTGTCTTTCTGTCACTAACAGCTTTTCGTCTCGTTTTTTTCGCTCGATCACTAACGGTTTTCTGTCTGACGCATTTTGAATTAATCCATTATTTTCTAAGAAACGGTTAAATCGCTCTCTTTCTCTTAACATCTGGTTATAAATAGCTATGTTTTTCATTCGATCTAATCATTTATTGTCTCGTTTGTTTTTCGTGATTTTCGTCGTTTCAAACGGATTCTATTTATATTTCTCGTAATTTTAGCCTTTTATGTTAGAGAATTCCTTACACGATTTCAACATAGATCGTCATCGTCTTCTTCAATAAGAAGGACGATAACAACAATATGAAACTAAAATTGTTGTCCCAATCAGAGGAGCTTTTTAACGTTCACTATTAAGTCCAGTAGGTAAACTTTACCATGAATTGTTACACATGATTCATGCACATTATGTTCAGTCCAATGGTCGTCTAAATGAATTTATCGGTTCCGGTGTATGTAGTCTGCTCTGATGGTGATGGTCTTGAGAATCCGGTTGATGCTACTGCTCCACCTATGATCAATCAACAACCTAGTCATCCCGATTACAATAAATTCTTAATTGACAATATTCAGTCATTTCTCATTTTTTTTCTTGGCTTAACCCTGTTGTTCTTCATTTCTTTCTCGTTTTTTGTTTGTTATTCATTTGTGAAACTATGTGATAAAGTCTTTTAGACTTTTTTTTATTATTTTAATAAATTTTTCAACTTTATCTCATTTTTTTCATATTGCATATTGGATCAAAATAGGAACTATCTAAATCTTTCCTAGTGTTGCCGAACACTACACTTGAGACATCCAACACAACAGGAAACAAGGGTATCAATAACATTTTCGAACTCACCTGCGTCTAAAATATCAGCATGTTTTTACTACAACTTCTGAATCAATTCTATTCTGTAGAAAATGGAGTTATCAGAATGTTAAACATTTTCAAAAGTTCATTTATCCTGATAGGTGTTTTGCAATTTTTCAGGAACAACCTTGGTTTTTTTGTGTAAAACTGAAATTCCAATCGATTTTCTCAGAAGAAAAAAACATTTAAGCAAATATTGAAAAATCAATGATCAGCAGTTTGGACAGTTTTTGAAATTTTACTGGTATCTTATGAGAAGAAATCATCATGTTTTACAATGAAAGTCTAAAATCACAGCTATTTTCTAGAATGTGATTTTCATTAATAACTTCTCCCCAGGTCAATCATTTCGATCGCCTGAAACAGCGTCTTATAAGGTCTAAAACGACTTTATTCCTGCCTTAAACAACGAAAAAAGAGGGCAGTTCTCAGCCGTTTTTCGTACCGTTTAGTACCTGAAATGCAACGTGATCTGACGTTTCTGGTCAAATTTAGTTGTATCTTTACGTGTAAAAAGTCAATAGATAATTCAAAAAAATATTACTGTAATAGATTCTTAGTGAAAGCTGATCAAAAACGAAACAGAATCATTGAAGTTTGAAAAGAAATTAGTCAAAAACAAAAAAACTAAGGGTGTGGATGACGAGAGAATAAACACCTACACCCACACACCATATCCCATACCCACACTCTTGATATTCAATAAAGACACAATGATAAGTAACACATAGAAAAAAGATGTGTCGACCGGTTAGACAATATTTAGAGAAGGAAAAAACAAAACAAAACGAATACATATTTATAGAAATAAATAGACACGTAATTTTCTTGTTTTCGACTTCATAGATAAATCTATCTGACAGAAAACATTCTCTGTCATACGAACGTTTTTTGTTTTGTTTTGGACGGATCTATTGATTTTCTTTTTTCGATTGATCATTATTAATAATAAAAGTTGATAAACAATGATTAGTATTATCATTAGTATGATAGTGAGTTAAATGTAAACGTCGTTTTGTTGGAATTTGTAATAATGATGTTGAACATGATTCTCTTTTTATTGATTTTTTATTATCATTTTTATTAAATATTGTTGGTATTAAATTTTCTTCTCTATGACGAATTTTTTTTCGATTATGTCGAGGAATTGTATTTGAACGATGATGACTAATAAATTTTCTTCCTTTATAATCAAGATCATTAGTTTTTTCATTAATTAATGATAAATTTTCTTCATTTTTATTTGAAATAATTTTCTGATCCAACTCCGAATTAATTTTTCCAGATGTTGAACTCAATAATGATGATAATGAAGAAGTATTCACTTTTTCAATTGATTTACCTTAAACAATGAGATTTTAAATGATAAAACAAATTCATTTAAAAGAAAAATTCTTGAAAGTTCTATTACAAAATAACTGATTATAGTTAATTGAACATTGAGATACTATCGATAATAATATTCAAATTCTTAATATGAAAAAAATGATCTAACCAAGTTTAAATATTGAGTTCATTTAAACAGAGTATCATAATGCAATTCAATGCTCATTTTATGGCTTATAAAACATTGTATCAGCAAGTAGACACATTCAAACTCGAAATTCTTGATAAGAGACGAATTAGACTTATCGATTCAATCAGATCTATTTATTATAGATATCGATGTAGAAATCACTCAAATAGTTTACAGGAAAACCTCTACTAGTGAACACCTTCTTATGATGAACGATCTCGGATTCAACGGAAGGATTTTTGCTGTAAATGCTCCTCTCTACTTTGAACAGTGAATGCTTTTATGCAGTCCCTTGTAGTAGTGAATCTTTTCTAATGTGAACATGTTGTTTTGACCTGTTTCTATTCTCTGTCATGCGTTTTTTTATGCACTACAAGTTCATTTTATGTACGATTCAATTACTGTATTTGTGAAGTAAAGAATGGCATCACGATATAAGTTTACTTTGCAAGAAAAGATGCAATTAATTCATGATAGAAATAATGGTAATGGTTTATCACAACATAAATCGGTCGAAAAATATAATATTTCACTTGGTTCTGTATCAAATATTTTAAAACGTAAAGCAGAATATCTAAATGATTATGAAACAATCCAGAATCAAAATATTAAACGAAAATTGAAAGATGCTGATACACAAAATTTAGTACATTTAAGGGGTGGACAAAAGAATAAATAAGCAAGCCTTATATAGAATTAATGTAAAAGTAGATATTCTGAAACACTTTATTTTACAGCAAATCGTGCATCACCTCCATATAGTGAATACTTTTAAGTGGTCCCGATAGTGTTCACAATGGAGAGGTTTTTCTGTAGTCTTTTCTTAGCTATCTTCATCTTGAGAACGAACCATTGTCTGTTTTTATCCAAGTATTAACTCATTATTATTATATGTGCATGTAAGACAAACCTTTTTCTGAACATTCAGTTATGGAACTCATTGAATGAAATGTAAAATTTGGTGGTAAAGATAATTGTTTTGTTAATGGAAAATACTTTATATTATTATCATTGAGAAACTAAAAGAAAAAGAAAAGTTTTAAATAAATATAAATGTATATATATATATATATACATCGAATTCTTTATCATCAATTAATGGTTGTTCAAGATAATCTCTATCCTGTGCATCAGCTTCTAATTGTCGTTCAATTTCTTCATCTATTTCTGTGTCATCAGACATCATTCGATTTGATTCCTAATTAAAATAAAAATAAAATATTAAATAATTCGTCAGCTTTTTTTTTTTTTTTTTTGTTAAATTACATCAAGTTTTTTCATTAATACAGCAACAACAACATTAACAAGAACAAATTGTGCCATAAGAACAAAAATAACAAAATAAATCGGTGCTAATGCTGACATTAAATGATTTTTTCCACCATGTGGAGAATCATCTTGACGTAATGCATCCTTTTATATTAAATAATATATTAAATTTAAAAAAACAAAAGAACTACTAAAGACTAACTTTCATTATTCCATTCCAATTATCACCAGTTGCAATACGAAATAATGTTAAAAAAGCCATACCAAAATCTTTAAAATGTGCATGTTTATCAAGTCCAGTACATGGACGTTCTTCACTACATTCTAATTTTCCAAATAATTCAACACCAAGAGCAGCAAATATGAAGAAAAGAAGAAAAAATAAAAGACCCTTAACATAAATAAATATTTATTATTATATTAATCAATAAGATAATATTATTTACCAAATTTCCAACTTGTGGAAGAGCTTGAATAACTGTATCTAATAATGCTCGAATACCTTTTGCCATTTTTAATAATTTAAGTACTAGAAATTAAACAATTATTATTGAGAGATTGAAATACAATCAATTTAACTTTTCAGAGATTCTCAACACCTCAGAGATATTCATTTCAAAAGAAATTTTTTTATCATAGATTCAGAACAAAGAATTTTCTGAAAAATATAAATACATTTTAATGATAAATATTTTTGACTATTTTATTGTAACTATTCGAGATTCGTGTCTCAATTTAAGCTTTTTTTTAGATATTAGATACCATATATGTATAATTATTGATACATTTTCAGAATTATCGAAAATACCCAAGCAGACAAAACTTTTCAAAAACGCGTTTAAACGCACAAAAAAAGATATGAAATCTTGGGAAAATAGGCGTGCGTTTGGCTCACAATTGTGGTTCCCAACTGTGAGCCAAACACGTTCATATTCTCTGGATTCTAGGTCTCCTTTTGTGCGTTTAAGTGCATTATTGAAAAGTTTTGTCTGCTTGAATAGAAGAAGAATATGTATTGATATTAGATAAAATTCATGTAAGAAGAATTTGTTGAATTCTTTATCTGAATAAATGTTAGACTAGAATAAAATTGAATATAAAATACTAAAATAACCTCGTGCAATTCTGAGTACTCTCATAACACGTATAAGAGTTGGATTAATAGGAAGTATATGTCCACTATTCATTTTTTCTAAAACAATTCCAGCTATTGATAAAATAACAATTGTTATATCAAGTTGATTCCATCTTTAAATAAATGAAAAAAAAAATATTTCGAAAATGTTTTATATTTTATAATAAAATACTTGTCTTTAAAATAACGTAATGGTCCAAGAGCAATTATTTTTGATATTGATTCAATAATAAAAACAGTTGTAAATACATAATTACAATAATCAAGAGCCAAATCAAATGCCTATTAAATATGAAATAAATAAAAATATAAATAAATAAAAATAATACCGGTGGCATTAAATAAAATTCTAATGACATAGTAACAACATTAAGACCAATAACAGCAGCAATAATTAAATCAAAATATTTACTATTACAAATATTATGTAAACGTCTTCTCCATGGTGAAAAATGTGCATAATATGGTATTTCACGCATACGACGTTTTTTACGTTCAATTTTTTTTGCACGTTTAGCTGTACGTCGAGCTTTTTCTTCACGTTCTTGTTCAGCACGACATTTATGAAAATTTTCAACAACAACACCAACAAACATATTTAATACAAAAAAACCAACAAGTAATAAAAATGATATAAAATAAACTAATTTAGCTTCATTATAATTTCTTATTGGTTGCATATTAACATCAACAGCATCAATACCATTATACATTATTTGTACCCAACCATCTCGAGATGATAATACAAATAATGATAATAATGCCTATGTTGTTTTTTTTTTATATTCAATTACATTATTAAATATTTATTTATTTAAATACATACTTGACCTAAATTATCAAAATTATACTGTTGATTTTTCCAACGATGATCAGTCAATTCTTCACATTGTTGTCGTGTTGTTACATTACGAGCTAATGGACCTTCACAATAATAAAATTTTCCTTTGAATAACTAAACAAATGAATATATTTTTATTAATTTATAAATTTTTTAATAAAAAATAAAACAAATATGTTTATGTATCTATTGTCATATCGATGGAAACTAATGGAAAACATCTAGAAACCGATCAGCTCAGTTGTCACGAAAACATTTAAATCAATCGAAGATTTCTGTTTTTTTGAAAATTTTCAGTTATTGACAGCGAATCTTCTGTCATGTTTATAACTATTCGGACATCAATTCAAGATTAACATTTACAATCGATTCAGCCGACGTCGGCTGATAATTTACTCATCGGTTTCCATAACTGAGAGATATTCGATCAGATTGTATGATGATTAACTTAGTTATCTATTAATTAGATATTAACAGTAAATTAAAATACTAAATTACTCTCGAGTTGATTTATTCTATATTATGTTACAATTCAACTAAACCTAATAATAGGTAAAATCCATATTTGTGTTACGAAATAACCATCATTTTCATTCATGCTTCTAGCAAATCAATGTAAGCATTTCTTGATTTGACAATAGTTATATACGATAGTATAAAAAGAAAACTTTCAAGATTTTAATTCTAATAAATCAAGTATTTTTTTTGTTTGATAAGAAAGATAGAATTGATTGTAATGTATAGAAAAAAAAAGCGTTAATAATACTATTTACCTGAACACCAAGTATACCAAATATAATAAAAAAAGTACAGCATATAACAACAATATGACCAATTGGTCTTAATGATGAAAGTAATGTTTGTACAACAAGTTTAAGACCAGGTGCTCGACTAATAACTAGAAATAAATAAATAAATAAATATGAAAATAATATAGCATTATTTTTATTTTTGTATTAAACCTCTCAATGGTCGTAATGTTCTTAATAGACGAAAAACTCTTAACATGCTAAATAAACGTGTTGTTGCATCTGATTCAAAATTAATTGTTGTTGATGGTCCACGATGCATTGTAGCAAGATCAATAATGGATATAATAACAAGAGAACCATCCATAAGATTCCATCCACTACGTAAATATGTATGAGATCCACATATAAGTCCAGTTGCTATTACTTTTATTAACATTTCAAATGTAAATATAATTGTAAATATAATATTAGTTAGATTTAAAAATTGTCGTTCCTAACAATAAAATCTTTCTTTAATGAAAAGAAAAAAAAAGAAAACTTTGTTTCATACAGGACTTGTTACTGGTATTGATGGACGTTCCATAGCAAGTGTTATACAATTAAGAGCGATTATAAATAATATTAAATAATCAAATGATTTTTTTAATATTAAACATTGAAATACTTTACGAATTCTAAATAATCAAGAAAAATTTCATTTCTTTTTTTTTGATTAATAATAAATAAATAAATATTACCGATTTTCTGGTGAAAAAATATAAAGTGAATAATTTTCTCGTCTTTCAAAATGTTTATAGAATTGTTCTCCACATAAACAATTTAAACAAAATCGATTCGTCTTAAACAAAAAAAGACACAATATAATAATTTATTTAAATAAATATTCTTTAAGAAATATATTTAATTTCATCCTCACTCAAAAATATTCAAATAACATCTTTTATTCAGATTAATATTATTGTAGGTCAATGTTAGAAACTTTATTTGACGACATCCTATTGATAAAATAAGTGTTCGAAAGAAAAAATCTATCTCAACACTCATTAGCAGTTATTCTTGATAATGTTTTTCTAAGTGTCTGTCAATATATCGGTTGTAAAACTATACGCTCTAAATTCTCAGAAAACGAATTTCAATCCATGATGTTGATGTGTGATGATGAATATCTTCGAGTATTTTCGTTATGGATACATTAATTGTTTTGTTAATGTATATAATAATAAAACTAATGCCCATTTCAAAAAAAAAAGGCGAGTGGGTATTTCTTGAATAACTTTTGAACAGATTGAACTAGAGAGATTCGGTTTTCATCATTGGAAAGAAGAGATGAAGACGCGTCAAACCATATGTAACAATATTTTCCTGAATACTTTCCTAACAGTTCTAGTCGAATGTTTTCAAAAAATTGCTTTTTTTTCGTGAAAAAAATTACAAAAACTTAAATTCTTCGATTATTTTGTTGGAAAAACTGGGTGGGAAATTGCATTCCAATGGCTAGGATATCTTACTGATAGTGATTAGGAATAGAATTTTTATACAGTTTTGTAGCTGTTCATCTGCTGGTTTTCACACACTCCTGAAAATCAATAAATTAGTATCGCGACTATGAGAAGCATGCTATTTTTCTAGAAGCTTTATGTAAAATTGTTAAGAAAGCAGTCAGAAATTTATTTTCATATATGGTTCGATACATCTTCATCTTCTCTTTCCAATGATGAAGATCATAGCTCTCTAGCTCAATCCGTTCAAAATTTATTCAAAACAAATACCCATCGGTCTTTGTTTTTTTTTTAAATGGGCATTAGTCAGTTTTGATTGTTCTATCCAAACGTATAATTAATTAACACTTAAGTTTGAGTATTTCATCCGATACTATTCTTGGATTTAGTCGTGTATTTAAAGAAAAATGTGTATAGAGAATAAGTTAGAATTGGGTTTAAAACTGATTAAATTTGATCAATATATTGAAAATAAGAGTGAAGAATAGTAAAATTAGAATTTTTTGATTTTTGAATAGTATGAAATAAGTAAAAATGAAAAATATTTAATAAATAAAAAACTAACTTGAAATATATTTTGATCTGTATTGTTATTAATATCAATTTGCATATCAGATTGATTATTAATTGTAGTTAATAAATTCGAATCATAATCATTAATTAATCGAAATGTTTTATCTGAATATTGATAATAATCATGTTTAGGTGTTTCATAAATACTTGTTGTTTCAAATTGATTTATTGAATAAGTTAAATTATCAAATGTTAATCGACGTTTATTAATTATATTGAAATTATTTTTTTCTTGTTCAATTAATTTTCCATCTTGAATAATAAAACGTTTTGTTAATGATGGTTGATATGAATTAATTCTTCGTATTGGATTTAATAAATTTTTATCTTGTTTATGATAATAATATGTTCGATGATTAGGATAATAAATAGTTGTAAATGAATTATTTTTTTGTAAATTATTAAATGAATTATTTTTAATTGTTGAAAGAGTATGACTACGTTGAATAGGTAATGAAATTTTTGAAGATTGTTTATCAATTGATTCAATACATGTATGAAAACTTTGTGTTGTTGATGATGATAATGATTGAGGTTGAGATGAACGAATTTTAATTATGGATTTATATGGTGATGAATGATTTGAATTTGAACTTTTTTTTAATAAACTTTCAACACCATGTAAACTTGAATCATTTTCATTACTTATTGCAATTCTTGGTATACTCATTATTTTTACTTCTTAAATAATATCAATGCTTTGTTTTTTTTTATATAAATAAATATGTTTGATATTACCTTTAGTTCGAGAATTTTTATGATCTTGATTTGTTTGTTTATGAGATTCAGTATCATCATTAATTAAATCATGCGAATCAGCAGGCATTTCAATATCACCTGTAAAAAGTGCTTGTGTCTAAAAATGATTTAAATCAAATTTGAATTATTATTTAATTCAATTTAATTATTCTAACTTTGAATGGATCAACTTTTCCATATCGATTTGAATTTGTTTCATTATCAGAATTACCACCCATTTTCTATTTATTTAAGAATTTAATTAATAGAAAACAAAAAAAATATTGTTTTTTTTTCTTTACTTCAGTCGAAAATCCTTCAACAAGAATAGCAACCAACAAATTAAATAAAACATAATTTCCAAATGTCATTAATGCAATAAAATACAAAGCTGCCCATGCACTTGTGTTTTCCATACCATTGTAAAGTACTTCATTCCAATCTTCTTGAGTTAAAACCTATTTTAAACATATTATTATGATGATGGGTATAAAAGCAAGCAGACATATAACTATAGGTATATTGTGCTAAATTCATGCAAATACTAATGATATATAAAACGAGCAAAGAGAATGAGAGATAGATCTAGAAGTTTCCAAGTGGAATTAATCGAACGAAGGTCATCCTCCTTCTATCACTATTCAGAAATTTCAGCTTTTCTCTAGTGAAGTTCCATTGTTTTGTTTTGCTTTCGAATTTTGAAAAAAGAAGTGATCAAAACCTTTGAAAATATTCTAATCGATCTGCTAAGTAATTAAATTTGGTTTGAACTGTACTGATGTCGATCTCATTTGAGATAATAATATGTGTTTATTATTTAAATGAAATATGGTATTATAGTAAATTCTACCTGAAAAACGGTTAATAATGCATAAGTTAATGAATCAAAATTTTTTCTGGGTTGTAAACAATAAAAATCTTTGATATGTGTATCATTTTTAAAAATATAATTTTCATGACATGTACAACATTTACATTTAATGTGAAGTTCTTTATGTGATGTTATATTGAATGCTTCTATTGAACAAAATTCACCACCAAATAAATGCATGCCAAGTATACTATATAGACACAATTATCAATAACAACATTAAAAAACACAACAATAATTAAACACAATTTTCTTTTTTTTTTTGTGCATGGAATGATAATAAAAAAAACGAAAGCATGAACAATTAAAACTATAAAATTTACTTGAAAAACAGTTAAAATAGCCCATAAAAGAGAATCGAAATTTTTTCTTGAACATTCAAATTCAAGATGTTTGCTATGTTTTACTTCAACATATTTGCAAAATTTGCAACCAAAAAGATTCATACCCAATATACTGTAGAAGAGTTTTTTTCTTTTAATATTTATATTTATTAAAATATCTAAACACATTCGTTGTGTTTATTTTTTTTTGTCTAGACTTACCTGAATATAAAAATAAATAGAAGTAATAAAGAGAAAAATGTAGCTACATTATCCATTGTTTTAAGCATAACAATCTATACGAAAAAAAAAAACAAATCAATTAAAGCTATTTATTGAAAATTTTTCCAAAGTCTATCACTTTCTAAGCCAAAAACAATGCCACTGTATGACTTTAAATCTCGCTTTTCTTATTGCAAAAATCAAATATGAAAAATCTGATCAGACAAAATTTTTACTCTCGCTTAGACCTTTAAAACAAAAAATAATATTGATGTATTATCTTGAATCGTGTGAGAGTTATTTCCATTTTTCTGATCAAAAATCATGTTTTTGAGTAAAATAATAAATAAGTTTAGAAATTGAGTTTTTCATTCAAATCCAGAAATAATCGAATATTGAGAATATTTATGGGAAATTTTTGAAAGCATGCAATAGATGACGTAAACTAGCCCTTCAGTTCATACTATATCATATAAAAATGTCTATTTCATACCAGGGCTCGAAACGGACCACGTGGCCCAGCGGCCCGGCCTGGCCCGGACCGGTCCAACGTGGCCCGGCCCGGGCCAACGAATTGTTTTTGTTGGGCCGGGCGGGCCAATCGAGAAAGACCAACGAGCCGGGCAGGCCGACCAGATTGTTGGGCGGCCCGGCCCGACAAGATTTTTTTTATTAAATTTTATAAATGTCATCAGGTTCAGAAATTATTACAAAATATATATCATGGAAATGTCTATGAAAGTATCATTGGATAGTACAGTAAACCAATAACCTTTTTGTTTATGTAATCTGTTATTTGTTTTCTTACGGTTGCTTTCACACGTGATCAACAAAAACTTCTTTCTGTTCGTTGTTTTTTCTTGTGATAAACTTCATTTATTCGTGGAATATGTAAAGCATTAATGAATACCCCTAATCTTTTCTCAGATAAATGTTGATTTTTTTTCATGGGCAATGTGTTTTTTTTCATTTGTTCTACATCTAGTAGTTTTTTTGTGGTATTCGTTAATATCTTCTTTTGTTATTACATTAATGGTCCAATGTCATTAAATTCATCAATAAATTATTGATGTACTCTACGGAAATTTCTTTTGAAATACGACGTTTATTATGATAATCAGTTCTGCAAAAAATATTTTCTAAAAAACATTTTGTTGGGCCTAGGTTGGGCTGGGCCGGGCGGGCCGACAAATTTGATGGGCCAGGCCGAAACAACGACAAGTTGGGCCTGGTGGGTAGCAAATTTGATGGATCGCTTTGGGCCGGACCGGACCAGAAAATAGTGGCCCATTTCGAGCCCTGTTTCATACTGATAGAAGTAACAAAATATTGATCTCAAAAACAGCCAAAATCTTTCCAAAAAAACCAGGTAGTGAGCTGAAAATTCCCTGCGGAGGTCTGTTAAAATTTGATCTTTTTTTTTTAAAAGCCTATATATATTCTAAAAGAGGAAACTTCGCTGCATCTTCCGATGATGAAAACTCAACTTCCATTACATTACAAAAGAAAAAACAAGGATTTTCTGAAGAGAGGGGAGGATCCCTTAAAGAATTGAAATATTCTTTCAAATATAAATCAATCAATTGTCATTAGATCTGCTTAATTATTAGATTTACGAATATCAAGATTTTGTTTTTCGATAGTTTTTCAATAAAACAATTAATAGCTAATAAATATTATTAAAAAAATAGAAATAACTATGCTCAAATCAGATAAGTGTCTGTTGATAAAGAATAAATAAAAAAGTTGACTTACCAATTGTCGTCTAAGTGTTGGCATAAATCTAACAAGTTTAAGTACACGTAATAATCTAAATGTACGTAAAACGGATAATCCACTATTTTTATTTCCTTGTAATTCAATAAGACTCATAATAACAATAATACTATCAAATATATTATAAGCATTTTTAATATATTGAAGACATCCATCAGCAATTATTTTTAAAATCATTTCAATAGCAAATAATGATGTAAATACTAAATTACTATATTCTAATGCATTTGTTAATGAATCAGGTTGTCCATGATATTCAATACCCATTGATAATGTATTTATAACAATAGCTGATAATACAATACGACGAAAATATTTTCCAGCAACAAAATTTGATATAGTTTTTTGAAATTTATTCCAATAAGACCATATATATTTATCCATACATATTGATATTTTAGATTTATGTTTTATTTGATTATTATCATCATCATCATCATCATCATCATCTTGTTCTTCTTCATCTTCTTCTTTATTAATACTTAATTTATCATTATCAATTGTTTGACGATAACAATCACATTGATTTTCTAAATCTAAATAATTTGATTTAATTGTTTGTTTAATTGATATATTATTTAATAATATTGATGGAATTGAATTATTATCTTGATCACAATGAAATGATGATGAATGTTGAATAATATCAATATTATCTAAATGAGCATTTGTTGTATGTATAGAATCTAATATATAAGATTGTTCAGGACTAGCAGCTGGTGCATCAGCTATTGATGGAGATAATGATGCTCCTGTTCTATTTGATAAATTATCACCTATTTGATTATATCGACAATTTGATTGATGAATTATATCAGGATTTGCCGATGAATATAAATTTGATTTTGAATTTCGATTTAAATGAATTTCAATTGTTTTCGATTTATTATTAACATTTTTTTTTCGACGATATTTTTTTTTACCAATTAAACGTTTTTCTGTAACCTATTAACAAATATACAAAATTTATTCTTTATTTTTATAAATCATTACTCAATAGATAAATATTTTTCTATCTAATATCATCTTAAATATTATTTTTAATAATATCACATATAGATATTCAACTTATCATATTGACAAATTTATTTTTTAAATATATAGAATGTAATGATTGTTTCATTTCCTATCGAAAGTTTGAAATTTCTTCTTAATCTTTAAAAACATCTTAATTACAGTTTATTGTCCTTCTAATAAAAATAGATTAATTAAGAAAGAAAAAGAGAGAAGAATACTATTGAGAGTAAAAAATTGAACCGAAGAATATTCGATCAAGAAATAAGTATTCAATCTGTTCACAGGTAACGCACTCATCCATTTTTGACCTTCTGATTGTTATAACTCGATAATTTAAGGTGACAAAGAGTTGCAACTTGCACTGCAGCAAGATATATAAAAGTTCTACCCAAAAAATACTTTATTTTGACTGACAACTACCATTTCTTCTCGTCATTATCCAAAACAAATGACATATCTATCAGTAGGGAATATACGAGAACCTATAAAAAGAAATTTTTAATCCATAAGTTCGATAGTCTTATATTCAACTTTGGCCACGCTGGGCCGCCGTTAGCTGCACAAGCTGTATTATGTTATAAATAAAATAGTCAAATTTAAATAATTCCCTTGTCGGTAAAAAAAAAAAAAAGGATATTAGGAATTCATTTGAATAAAAATTTGTTGATTAATCTTACATTTGCATGATTTAGTTTATAATTTTTCCATAAAATATTAATTTTTTTATGTGCATGTTTGTATAAACGTTCTATATATTTAATTGTTTCTTCCCAACAAGAACCAGGTTCATCACTTAATAATGTACTTGATGAACGTGAAAAACGTCTTCGTTCATTTAACATTCTTTCTGTTTCACGTTTTTTTGTTTCACTAAATTGTGTTGCAATAACAACAAGACATAAATTAATCATAAAAAATGATCCAATTACAATAAGACAAACAAAATAAATCCAATCCCAAAATGAATGAGCATCTTGAATATAATACATTATATTAACCCAACTTTCAAGACTTATTATCTACAAAAAAAAAATAAAATTAGAAAAAAAACAAAAGAATTTCATTAAATAATACTTGAAAGATAACAACCCATGCTAAACCAATATTATCAAAACTAATTGAACCCGAATATGGATTTTTATCGGATACATTACAAAATTTATAATATTGATTCCAATTAATACAAGCATTAGTTGGTTTATTTGAATCTTTTAATAAATGTTCATTATATGTATGAAAATCAAGTTCACATGTTAAATTTCCTTTTCGTAATTTTGGAATATCTGAACATTTTGTCATTCCACTTGATTGAGGTTGAGAACAAACAAATGAATCTTGATCAGGTGGAATATAAAATGCTCGTAAATGAAAATTTCTTTTTTTTTTTAAAATAAATAAATAAATAAATAAATAAAAATTTTTATTATTATTATTTAGAAATCATACTCAAATAAAGATTGATCAACTATTGTTGTTGTATTTAATTGTAAAAAACAACGATTACGTAATAAACCTTTCCATAATTGTACACCAACAATACCAAATATAAAGAAGACAAAAAAACAAAGAAGTAATACATTTCCAAGCATTGGTAATGTATCAAGTAATAACATGACAAGTATACGCATTGATGGTACACGATTTATTGCACGTAATGGACGAAGTACTCGAATTGTACGAATTGCTGATAAACTTAAATTATCACCTGGTAGTATTGCTTCTATTAAACTATAACACATAAACAAATTCATTTTTTTATATACTTTAACAGATTTATCAAAGAACAAGACATGAATGAAGACATTTTATACTAAAAGAATTGTCTATTAACTAGATTTTATCTAGAGTCCTGCACGGGTACTACTTTTCGCACCCGGACCCGGCCCGGCTCATTTTTTTCAAACCCGGAATCCGACCGGACCCGGTCATCTTCCACCCGGAACCGAACCGGACCCGGATAGCTCTACCCGGTACCCGACCGGACCCGGCCCAGCCTTGAAATAGTCAGCACTTGATTGTTATTGTCAAAATTATATTCACTTTTCAAACTTTTATTTCATATGGCAAAATATACTATTATTTTAATTTCATCAAGTAACAATTTGTACCCGGACCACAGTTCCGGGTCCGATCGGGTGCCGGGTATCCGGCCCCGTTGCAGGACTCTATCCTAGAGTGTAAAATACTTTTACTTGTTAAGATGTCATCGACTACCGGTCGGGTACCGGGTATGCTCAAATTCTGCACCCGACCCGGCATTTTTTTCTGTACCCGGCACCCGAACCGACCCGGCAAATTTGTACCCGGACCACAGTTTCGGGTCCGGTCGGGTGCCGGGTACCCGACCCCGTTGCAGGACTCTAATTTTATCCAATATTCTTTTTTATTTAATGCTTTTATTATATTATTCAAATGTAAACATAAATCATCGAAGTTTTATTATATTGAAAACTTTAATTGTAAATTGTAGAGAGAAAATAATTCTTAATTGTTTAAATCATTTGAATTTCTCTTTTCTTCCAATATGATTAATAGATTTATCAAACTATTTGGTTTGATATGAAATTCATTTGATCTTTTACAAAAACAAAAGTAATAGTTAACGTATACAATTATTTTATCAGCGACTTTTTGTATATGGCCATTGAAAGATAAAGATTTAACTTATTATTATTCGATATTAATGCTTAACATTGTCACTGTATCTGATGATTATAACATTAACTAGTGTCATGAAGAATATGATTATGAATTTAAAGTTAAAATATCTAATTATTCTTGTTTTGTTTGAATAAGTTAAAACAAAAAAAAACAAAAAAGAAAATGTTTATTTGAAAATAATTCAATTAGTTTTCTTTTTGACGAGATATTTTCAATGTTCAGCTAATTTGTCTATTATTCGCTTGATTAGACTAATTTTATTATTTTATTTTCTTTCATTTCGCTTCAACACATTCTTCTTCATTTTACTTATAATTTATATATATGTATAGTATTCAAATTTTGTTAATAAACACATTGTTTTTTTACATTAATAGATGAGATTTATGATCACAGTTAAGATTATAAAGCATTCTAAGCAAATAAAAAAGGTCGGTCACGTCGATCTCAAATCGAAATGAAAATATTTGCGATGTGAATAAAATATCGTTATTTAACAGTTTATTTAAATCGTAATAATAAATGAGTTCAAATAAAAGATTTAAATTTATACATAAATATTTGAAAAGTATATATATATCATATATTATTTAAATTTTCATATTCAAATCTATTTGTTTAGATAATAGAAAAAAATTCAATATAATTAATATTTAATAATGATAAAAATCTAATAATTAATCATTAAATAAAAAATTCCTAATTAATCAGTTTATAATATTATGAAAGAATGATCGAAATTCTTTATTATAAAATAAATACATTGATGACGAAATTATTTTCAAAACAAAAAAATTTGAAAGTTTTAATTCTAAGAAATTAAAAAAGTCAACTGTAACTCAGATTCAACTGATATTTGGCTGATTAGATTTTAATAAATTGTAACTATTGATTATTAAATATAATTAAGAAAGAAAATATGTTTTAACTCCCATAAGAAACATGTGAAAATTAATAATGAATATTATTGATAATCATCACGTATAGAGGTGTCACGAGCTGCTCTATCGACTCGATACGTCAATGACAAGACAATCTTGAAAATTTTCATATTTTTTTTTCTAATTAAAAAATCATCGTTTGAATTTTTTCTTAATAAATCTAACTAATTGATCTACAATAAATATTTAACTATATATATATATATATATCGAAAAATAAATGTCGAATGAAATAAGTTAAAAAAAAAACAAATGAAAAATCTTACCCAGAAAAAACAATAAAACAATCCAATCTATTCCATGTATCAGCTAAATATGTTCTTTTACCAAATATTCCCATTGCAGTCATTTTAATACACATTTCAATAGTAAAAAAAGCAAAAATAAAATAATCAGTTGCTTGTAACCAAATACAACGTGGTGTATCACATTTTTTTGAAGATTGTAAATTCGAATGATGTTCACATGGTTGATACATTCCAAGTGTTATACAATTAAGTAATATAACAATCATACTTATACGTTCAAACCATGGCCATGTTATTAATTTTAAACATTGATAACGTGGTGTTGTTGTTTGTTTAAGACAATAAAAAACTCTATCAATAAAACCAGGAAATGGTAATTCATTTTCATCTGTTTCTTCAAGATTACGTGAAGCTGGTAAATCTGTTAAAACATTTGTTGAACCACCTTCATTTAATATACGATCATTTTCACATATATGTAAATTATCACTTCCAATTGTTATTATTGTTGATGATAATGGAAAATTTAAATTATTTTTATTATTAGTATTATTATTATTATTATTAATAATTGTTGTCAAATAATTCTTATCCATGATCGAGCAATAGTTGTTGCTGCATGATCTGAATAGAATATATATATATATATAACAACGACAGTCGATAAATGGACACTTAACTATAATCTACCATTTTTATTATTTTGATATGATATTATCAAGACATATCTATAGATGATAATTAATAATTAAATAATTATATTAACCAATAATTCATATTTCGTATTCGAATATTTATTGATCTGGAAAAAAAAACAGATATTATATATATATATAGATAGATTTTTCATATAAATAAATGTCATTTTTTTATTTTTATTAGACAATAACATAAAAACTCTCTTGGGAAAAGTTACAATTTGTCGGACAATTTTCCCTGATCAATATGTTGTCAATGATGGGAACAGACAATGCAAATAGAAATTTATATATATATATATAGTTTTGTTTTCTTTTTCCATTTGCTTTTTTTAAATAAAATAAAGATCCACAAGGAAAATAGTGTGTTTTTTTTTCTTAACATTTATGTTGCCGATTAAGCTGAGCAAATAAAATGAAGAATAGGAAAAGAAAAAAGAAACGTTTTTTTTTTTCTATTTTACTAAAGAAATAACATAAATGCATACTATAACAAATGTCTTTTTCTTAAGAAATAAAAAAAAAAAAAGCTAAATGCATCTTGAATTTAACTTCTCCACATATTTATTATATATAATCATTTATTTATATTCTGTTACTCTTATCTGATCAGCTTTTTCTTTAAATATAATTCAAACAAAACAAAACAAAACAAGACAATTACAGAAACTAGAATAGACTTTAACAAAAGCTCATATAATACTTTATATTAACAATAAAACAAATAAATATTAAACAAGTGGGTACACTTGCCTTTTTTTCTTAACGATATTTCAATAAATTGAACTAAATATTCTAATCATCTTCATATTAGTAATAATAGACATCAACGAGTGTTAAACGAAGTAAAAGAAAATAAAAGTAAAGATATTCGAATGATAAATATTCTGTTATAATTATTATTCGAATAAGAACAACAAATAAGTTGCTGCTCTATAGGATAGACATAAGCGTAATTAACGACTAATTCAAAAGCATACGCACAATGTGAGAATGACAAACAACAAACTGAAAGCTAACAGTGTTTCTTACTTAACTAATGAAGAATTTTTAATCAAGTCAAAAAGTAAGAAAAATTTTGAGTGAGGTCAAATATAATTAATTTTGATAATTTTTCTTAACAACAATGATGAATTTAGTCAATGAAAAGCAATGATAGAAGTCTCATGAAATAGAGAATGTATCTAGCAAGTAAGTAGACTTATTGAATATGATTGTTTCATGAATGAGAATAATAATCAAGGTTGTTGTTTTTTCTTTTTTTTTTTGTTTATTTGACAGATTCGAATTTTTATGTTATAATATTATATTTCTATTGATTGTCATTTCTTATTTTATTGTCGATATAAGTTAAACATGAGTAAGATAGACATTGCATGATGAAATCTATGCAATAGATAAAAAATATGTTTATGTTTCTTGATATTAAGATCTAACATAATAAAATTATAAGTCAGGCCTTTTTCTTATCTGACCATCGAATTCGATTTATTTTCTGTCATCATTCATTAGAGCAAATCGAGCCAAACGATGAACAAATCGGGTTTTTGCTTTTTTTTTTTTTTGGAAAGCGTGAAGAAGATTAAAAATAAATAGAATGAAATATATAATTTTTGATTAATCTACGCACTGTTCATCATTTTTTTTATATTGTTGAGAATAATAAATTTCTTGTTTCGACTATTAAATAATTAAGAAAAAAAATGATGATGAGTAAAACACTTACTGGAAAAAAAACAGCCATGCAATGAGATAAACTTATTAAAATGACGGATTTCCTATTGTTTTGCCTGATAGATAAGACCTGCTAGGTCATACTCGTGTCTAAAACAAAATTAACTTTTTGTCATGTCAACAACGAACATACATAAGACTAACATTTAATAATGATACAATAGTATTTTTTTCTCATGTAATATCGTAGCATATTTTTTCTTGTTTATTTTATTAAACATAAACTAAAATGAGAGCTCATCTTACCTATTTATTATATCTACAAAGAATATGTTGATTTGCTATTCTTTATACGAGTTTCTATTCTTCCACTAGACGGAGTTTTATTCTTCTTCTTCTTCTTCTTACAATACTGCTATTATTGAAACTACTTCAGAACCTTCATCCAGTGCTTTCGTGAGTTTTCTTCTTCTTCTTCTTCTTCTTCGTCTTCATCTCACGCTCTTGCAATAGCATGTTTAGTAGCTTGTCGTTCAGTCATTCAAAAAAAGGAAATTAATTATTATGTTCTCGCTTTCTTTCTTTCAGTCTAGTTTTCCTGCATTTACGTCTCTCTTTCTTTTCTCATCGTTTGACGCTTATATTAATGAAACACTATTGCACCTTGTTGATCTACCTGCAAGCTTATCTTCTCTTTCTTTTTTTGTTCATTTCCGCCTCAATACTCCAATAACCCTATGTAAATTCATGCATTTTTTTCTATATGCATATACATATTAAAAGCTTATCAATAAAAAAAAAAAATACAAATTATTAACAACATTTTCATTTTATATATCTCTATTTGTTCTCATCTAGACTTACTCAAGAGAATATCATCATTATCACTATCGTCACTTCATTCTCTATATGGATGTAATACATTACTGAGAAAGACACTAGTCTATTGCTGAGATATAGGAGACACGATGGGAGATCAAAAAAAAAACTAATAATAATAATAATAATAATAGAGATATAAAGAGAAAAAAAAATAGATGTATACTCGTGCATATGCACAAAATACATCTCTATTATGAATGCCACGATCCATCATAAGATTTGTCACAAGATGAAGCGAGCCGAGACTGAGGCGTCTTTGTGCCCCCGCTTCTTGTAAACGCATGCTTAATCGATAATCTACTTGCACGCTAGCACCATTATCACGTCTATCATCGAACTTATACCTCTCTAATAACAATGATCACGATTCTGCTACACATAATAGACAATAACAGAATAACTCAAGACAACATTACTAACCGAAAGAAAAAAAAGAGAAAAAGAACAAAAAGAGAACGAGATAGAAAAAAGATGTAGCAAAAAAACAAAAAAAAAGAAGATCTCATCAAATCGAAATAAACATGACGTATGTACGAATGCATACATACTGAGACACAACTGAGTTCACTAACAACAAAAAACAAAAACAATAACACCAACATTAGAGTGGTTTTTCATAAGCATCTGTGAATGATTGAGAATGACAGTGAAAAAAGACAAAAAACAGAATATCAGCATTAGAATATTCTCTGACATTTAGACTATTACTATCAAAGAGCAACAAAAAACGCATTTATGAATATTTTGATTTAACACCATGTATTTGATAGACTTTTACACTTATTTACAATGTTTATTTACGTAATAGAAGAAAAAGTTACTTGATATGTCTAAACTATTAAAATGAACAAATAAATTGCTCAACTATTTAATAAACATATAGTAAGAAAAAAACAAAAAAACAAACATCATTTATTGACGATTGACAATGATCATGTAATGTCATACTTATATAAATATGCTTTTAGAAAAAATAAGAATGTTAATGTCTCTTGACATTATAGCCTGATGAATCGATGATTGAAGAAAAAGTGGATAAAAAATTAAAAAAAAAAAAAAAAACGAGACATAGAAATAAAAAGCATGACATTTATGATGATTAGTATCTATTATATATAACTAATAATGACATATACGATAAAGAAAAATGATGAAAATATATTATTCAATTTTACAAAAAGACTTAGAAAATATTCTTTTTTATTGTTTACAAAAAAGAATGAAAAACAAGTAAACTGTATATACCAATAAAGATATGGATCTCTTTATCATATAAAAATTTTTTTAATATTATTATCGGAAAGAAAATAAGATTAAAATAAATATTGTGTAGATTATTAGATTGTTATTCATATTAATTAAACTGTAAATGACGTCAATATATATAATAAAGATTAGTTATTATCCTATAAAAACTAATAAATTATGTTGTTTTTTTTTTAAAATGTTCTCTTGATACTTTTCATATTCATAGAAAATTTATTTAGACTAAAAATAAAATCATATTATTAAATAATTAATTATAATATGATAGTTTTGAAAATAGTTTCAATCAAATGAACTATTCATAAGTACGATTCATTTTATGTGTACTTTTTCATAGAAAAATGAATTAATCTTTAGAAAGAATTTATTTCGGAATAATACAACAAAAAATGATTCCACTTTTGAGAATATTAATTTCTCGATTACAAAATAAAAACAAAATCTAATACCATTGAATAGAAGTGATTATACAGATCATTTATTATCAAAAGAATTTTTCTATAGTTATAATTATTTTGATCAAAATTTTTCGATATAGAACTATTCTAGATCTCATATTTAATTGTGTATATAACAAATGTTGTTTTTTTTTCTATGTAATATAATATGTTCGTCTCATCAGTATGTTTAATTAAAATAAAGTGATGTTTACTTCAAATATCTAATATAAACAGAAAACTTATCAATAATTATAATCATAAAGAAATACTATATCATCAAATATAATAATAATAATAAAAGAGATAGTCACAAATTATAGATTTATATTTTCAGTGCTAAAAGCATTCTGAAGAATCAAGGCCATTTGATAATGAAAAAGAGAAAACAGATTCGATTATGTTCAAATAAATCGTTTTATAATAATTTCTTAATATATCTCATATCAACACAAAGTTTTGTCTTCGAAATATTTAACTATTTTAGCAACATCGATTTGTTTTTTATTTTTTTTCTTTACAAATGATTTTTTAATTTCATCATTATTAATATAGAATTCAAATAGTTTTTCTCTATTTGTTATTAGTTTTTGCTTATGGTACGAAGAATGAATTTTTTTTGAGCTAAAAAAAAAGTCT